GTTTCATCATTCACCTTCTTCAGTCAATAGATGATTATGTAATTGTGAGCCGAGGCACGCCGGTATTGACTAGTCTGTAGACCGTAGAGATGATACCGCTCCAGCGTGTGCAGATACATGTCGATACGGGATATCTTTCTATGCGCTACATGTAGGTCGATGGCTATCGGCGTGCAGAGATTTTCATGTCCCGGTTGGTATCCCATGATGTGCACTGTTTCCGTGTGCGCCGATACAATGATAACAAGCTAAGAGATAAACCAAACCCACACCACTTGTTCCTGACACAAAAAGCTATCTGCCACCCAAAAAATATTATGTCCATATAAAACATTATAGCATGTTCGGTACAAAATACAAAACCGGACGTTGTACTTAAGTATCAAGGTCAGCCACCTAGAGGCCCACATTTGACCTTTATATTCCTAAAACCTACCCACGTACCAAATGCGATCACAATCCATAATGGCATTCTCCTTACGTTATGTTGATCACAAATATGCGGAAACACAGACACACACACACACACACACACACACACACACACACACACACACAGAGAGACAGACAGACAGACACACACACACAGAGAGAGAGAGAGAGAGAGAGAGAGACAGAGCCAAAACAATACGTCCAGTTGTCATGGAGGTAATGATAAACTTTGCTGCACAACAATTGTACAAGGGCTGGCTGAGTTACTGCTTATTCTGACTTCAAATGCTGGATTGGCATTAAAAGCTTTACGCTGTCCAGCCTGTATTTAAGTAAGACTTGTCCATAATAATGATTTCTCATCTCATTACGGTAAAGCCAGTGAGATGTAAGTACTTAACCTTTACTGAAGGCGGAGTTGACGTTCGATCTGTGCTCGATACCGTCTCGCCGCCGTGTCGGCTTCAAGTCGCCCCCGAACCACTTAAGTGTTATCATCACTGAGAGAAGACCACTTGACAGTTACATCGATAAGGAGGTAAAGGAAGACCTAATTAGAGGGGGTCAGAGATTATTGAAGACTTGAGGTACGTCTGATCTTGTGCAACGCAGCGTTTTGAAGTTATGATCGCGTCCCGTGTTTCGCGACAAACTTTTAACAACAAAAAAACTCCCAGCCAGAAGCGACTTCTCCTTTTTTATAGATTATTCAGTGGAAAACAATTACCGATGGGGTTGAGAGCCCGTCCCCAGAGGTTGATTCCCAGTGCACGAAGTACCGATAATGCGTTTTCCATTAAGCGGACATAAGCTAAGTAAAAGCTGCTGGCGCGATACAAATTGCGGAGCGTTATAGGCTCAAGCCGCGTCCTAGAAAGTCCACAAACGCCCCCCGGGGTATCAGGCAATGAACTTGAATGATGTGAGAGTCAAGTTCACCCATAAAGCCGGTATGGGCCAGCACGCCGCTGGGGTGATTTCACCGATGGAAAACTTTTGATAAAGTCGCTTGGGAAAGAGAGCTGGCGAGCATGTTTAAACAGACTGTCAGTTATCTAGAGAAACGCTACTGTTAGGATCTTCAAACAGTGTAACTGTCTTCAAGACATAGATGTGTCAGGCCATGTTAACTCCGTCGTACCGAAGAAGGAACTGCATTATTTCTGGTAGGGACTTAGAAAACAGGTACTGTAGAATGGATAGTGGTGACAGGTGAGGTCTCTGACTATATGACAGCAATGCGGACGATTGAACGCACTTTAAGCACATCAAAGACAAAACTAGAGTGTACGACAGACACATTAGTTTTTAAATCTTTCTCTAGGAAATTCAATAGAATGGACATTCACATGTAACAGGAGCTCCAAGCCAAGTACGGGCAAACACGCGAACTCGTAAAGCAAATTGAATATCACTTTCTGACTCAACGACCATTTCGGGAGGTAGCTCTCAACATTACGGCTATAAAGTGGCGAGTAAAGCCCATGTTGTACAGCTCTCTCGGCAGTCGCAAATCTTTATCTCTAGGATCCAGCCGGCTTAGCGGCACAAATCCGGACGAGGAAATGGCCATAGATGCGGCTCAACTCTACGAGAAATCAATTACTCTGGGAACGAGATGGCACGGCTCTCGGCTCCAGATTTTACGGTCCGGCCGTTAAAAAGTCGTCTGATGTGGCCGACGGGAGATCAGTCATGATTGGGCGGGATCAAAAAGATTGTTGTTCCGTAGACTTTTGGCGGCAAGGTGTGAGGAAAGATGGGTGATAAAATAGAATGAAAAACCGAAGATCTCGTTCGAGACAAAGCCGTCAACGCCGTTACGACAAAACCACGCAGTAATCAACGCGAGATTTGATGAGACAGTAACGGACACTGGAGATTGTAAAATAGCCATAACGGAGCTCAAAATGGGTCTTCTTTTCTGACAATTATCCAGATCAAACTACGCGTTAGTTATCCCAAGCACTGAGAACTTCAATCAATACGTCCCACTCTTGAAATCAATAACAACTTTCAACTGATGTATCTGTTAGCCGGGCTATCCCTGGAACAGTGCTTGTTTGATAGTAGATCAAACGGCCGATGCGGCCATCTTCGTGTAACATCATATGCTGAGTCAGTGATGGCTGCTTTGGAGTGTGATAGAATCGTAAATTTTCCCTCATCTCATAAAAACGCAATCATAATATTTATCTTCGCAGAGGGAAATATATTGTTTTTGCTCTGCTTTTCCTTCTTCTTGTACAAAGAACTTTAATGACCTAGACCAGACAGACGACTGTCACCATGGTTATTGGTGCTATAGCAGACAACCTGTGGTGTTGCCGGGTAAGCATATTATATGAGTGTGTTCGAGTTAAAATAAACAGAGCTGTTTGTTAGGCTACGCCACGCTACGTGAAGGTAAACATTATGCATTTGCTTTGCAAATGTAACCCTTCCAACGTTAGGTCAAATCGATTTGTCCGATTCTATACATCAACCGCTTCTGTTACATACGAGGCGTGATCAAAAAGTGCATGGCTTCTAAAAACTTTATAGAAGATTGTCCTAACAACATAGCCTCTACCAGGCTTGAGGAGGCGGCTGGAAAGAGTAGAAATCGGCCAAAATAGAGAGATAAGTATGC